TGCTCACAGCACCCAAACCCTGTCCAGCACAGGGGCACAAGCCCATCTCGGGAGCTGGGAGCTGCTCGCAGCACCCAAACCCTGTCCAGCACAGGGGCACAAGCCCATCTCGGGAGCCGGGGGCTGCTCACAGCACCCAAACTCTGCTCTGCACAGGGGCACAAGCCCATCTTGGGAGCTGGGAGCTGCTCACAGCACCCAAACCCTGCACAGCACAGGGTCTCCAGCCCATCTCGGGAGCAATCTCGGGAGCTGGGGGCTGCTCACAGCACCCAAACCCTGCCCTGCACAGGGTCTCCAGCCCCTCTCGGGAGCCGGGAGCTGCTGGCAGCCCCAAGCGCCTCTCCCGGCAGCTGCGAGCAGCGTTTTATCCTCTGCGGCTGCCGGAGGAGCAATCCCGTCCTGCAGAGGAGCGCCAGACGTCACACGCGGGAAGGTTGCTAAGTGAGCTGGTCCCTCCTCATGATGCACGACTTCATTACGCGGCTCCCTAAATGGATCTTACACACAAATGACATTTGCCTTGCAGCATATGAGCTCCCAAAATAGCGGGCGGCTCTCCGCGTTGTTGCTTTGCTTTGCCGAAAAGAATGTCCCCATTGTCTGCAGGGCTGCTGTGCCCATGCCTGGCACGGCCCTCCACGCTTGAGGCGTTGGGTACAAAGGGATGGAGACCCCCAAACCAGCCCAGCTGTGCCCTGGGTGGCAGCAATGGGGGAGCCCGGGGTGGCCCCGTGGCCAGGATGGGGGGAGTGGGCTGTGCCTTTCTAACAGGAGCCATGGGGAACAATTAATGCAGGCCCCTCTGCTGTTCCTGCCTCAAACTTCTTTCCTGATGCTTGGCTCAGGGTTTCTCCGCAGGCTGGGTGTTTCCCCCGAGGGGAAGAGCCCCAGGGATGCTCCAGACACAGCCCTGCTCCTGCATGAGCCTCCCACCACCCAATGCTCTTCAAAGGGACTGAAGCCAGCTCATGACACACCTCCCAGCACCTACAGAGGTGACAGAGGGGACAGGCCACCGTGTCACACCCCAGGCTGCCAGCTAAAACCACTTCTCCTGGCCTGTGGCCTGCACCAGGGACTGGCTGCTCACACAGCCATTTCATCTAAAATCACTTAAACTCAGCCCCGTTTCCTTTGAGATGAGCTGAACCGTGCAGAGAGAAGGGCTGGCTCCAGCTCTGCACCGTGCATAAGGTACAAATAAAAAAGGAGCATAAAGGTTATGTCCATGCCGAAGAGAGAAATTTGCTTTTCCTTTTTTTCCCCCCAAGAACATCCCCGGCAGCTGATGTGTGCAACACTGCCCTAATCCGGTGATGCATTTTAATCCCATTACGTTGCCATGCGCTGGGAGGAACAGATGTTTCCTAATTGCCACTTGTGCTGCCCAGGGGTTTCCAGCTCGGACAGCGTTCCTCGGCCTCTGCTGGCACTCCCTGCCGTCCCTGCCTCTGGAATTGCAGGATGTGACAGCGCTGGCTGCTGCTGTGCCAGTGCCCCACCTGGAGCTGCTGTTCCCCGGCCGCGGTGTCCCCGCGGAGGGGTCACAGTGCCACTGCTGGCTGTCCCCGAGGGCGAACCCCGAGCAGTCGGGGCTGCCCTGGCCGCTCGCCCGGAGGGAAATGTCACATTTGCTTTTTTTTCCCATTTGTTTGAGGAAAGCTGTCGGAGAACCCTGTCCCACGGCAGCCCAGCTCCCACTGGAGGATGCGTCCCAGCACATCCCCTTGTGCCAGTGAAGAGTTTGGGGCTGGTCCTGAGGGTTTCATCATCGTCGCTGTCCCGGCCGGCTGCAATCCCCTGGTACTCGGTAATCCCATTATGTCTCCACGAGGCTGCTTCCAATTCTGGCCGCTGAAGAAGCGATGTTTCTTAATTAGCTTTTCAACCGGACAGGGATTTTACTGGCTGTAAGGAGCTGTAGAGGTTTCATTGCTTCCTTTCTCTGCCTCATCACACTGATGTCAGGAGTAAAAACAAGGAGCAGAAAGCAAATGGGAGCCTGGCACTGAGGCAAGAATGCCCACTCTCGGGCACAGACAGAGCCAAAGCTCCTCTCTCTCTCCGGGATATTTCACTCCTGCCTCAGCCCTCGCATTAATCAGAGCAGAGATTACTTTTCCACATGCCAAAGCTGAACATTGATAAATCACAAATCTGCCCTGAAAACCACAAGGCTTTAATAATACATGCTGGGTTCCTGCTTGGTTTTCCTTCCTTCCTTGAACCTCCAGTGTCTGTGGCTGGGTCTGTGCATGGGGGCACAAACATGAGGCTGGAGGCTCCGTTTAATGCAAAGAAAAAGAGAAAAAAAAAAATGAAGCTGGGAATCTCATGTAATCACGTGGCTCCTGAAGATGGAGAATTAAACATAACAATAATTTTCAGAGGATAAAAATCCATTAAACACACAGTAAAGCACTCACAGTTGGCAAGGCACATTAGGTACCCAAAGCACCCAGGCTGCAGGTGCGATTGAGCTCAGCCCGCTGTATCTAAGTAAAAAACAACTCATATTTTTCAAGACTGTTGGGTTTTAGCCCGTGATTCTCCAGCCTGGCGTGTCCCGAGGAGGGATTCACCCGGCTGCCGCTGGCAAAGGCAAAGCAAAGCCAGTGGGAGCCGACGGGCACATCTTCATCTCTTCACCGCTTTTGCCTCCTCCTCCTCCTCTTCACCAGCCCATCCCGCATCACCCACGGTCCTGACGGAGGCACTTCCCGAGGAGAGACAGCGGCTGCTGCTCCAGTCGGGAAAGAAAACAGGAAGGAAAAGACACCTCAGTGTCGGATTTAGCCAGGGTTTGCATCATTCTTACTCTTTCATTAATTACCCCACAGCAAATTGCTGCTGTTCCCCTGCAGGCAGCCCGTCTCCGGTGGGGTTCACCTGCCGGGGGTCGCGGGGATCCCCCCGCCCACCCCAGCAGGCTCCAGCCGCCCTGGGCACCGCAGGAACCGGGAGCTGGAACCAGCACGGCCGGCAGCGGTGGGGTCTGATCCCCACCCGTCCTTTTTGCCGTGTGAAAAAAAAAAAAAAAAGAAAAAAAAAAAAAACCCCAAAAACACATCCCTTCCCCAGCCTTAGCTCTGCCGGCTGTTGGCACCACGGCAAAACCACCCACCCAGCCAGCGCAGCAGCGCCCTGGCACCGCTGACATCTCGCCCCGCGGTCCCGCAGCCCCGCCGGCAGCGGGGGACGATGGCCAGCGGGAGGGAGGGGACAGGGACACGGCTGGGGTGCCCGGGGGGCTCCGAGCTGCTGAGGAGACGAGCGCGGTGCCAGATGGCAGCTCGGCAGCGGGCGTGGGACGGAGGCGATCTTCTGCTTTTGAATAAAAATGTTTAAAAAACAAATTATTCTCTCAGCGCATTTCCCCAGAGCCAGCGAGGGAAAAACCCTCCTGGGCAGAGCTGAAGCTGCTTCCAGGTGACCCGAGGACGCCCACCTGGCTGCACCCAGCCACCAGAGGAGGAATTTCCCCCAGCGGGTCCCACAGGAGCTGCTCTGGGCTCGTTCACATTTTCCACTTCTGCTTTCGGTGCTTTTTCCCCCAGAACTCTCCCAGCCCACCCAGAGCCGGGCTCCGCTGTCCCCGCGGGAGCTGCCCCGGCTCTCAGGCTGGACAGGGCTTGGGGCAGCCTGGGCTAGTGGAAGGTGGCCCTGCCCATGGCAGGGCAGTCGAACGAGATGAGCTCTAAAGTCCCTTCCAACCCAAACCATCCCAGGGTTCCACGGCTGGGAATCTCTGGCTCCGTGCTTTGGGATCTCTGCTCCCCACCCCGCTGCTTCTTTCAGCTCTTTGCCCCCCAGCAGCCGCCGTTTCCCACCGGCCCTCCCGGCACGCACAGAGCACTGCCTCTGCTACTGCTAAAGCCCCATTTTCCACAAAAACATTCCGGTCTGGGATGATCATGAATCCTCCCTGGGGAAGGAAAGGCGCAGCTTTCCGCAGGGACGCCGCGCCGTGGCTGCCAAAGCCTCTCAGAGGAGCTGGCATCCCGCAGCAGAGTGTGGCGAGCGATGAATCGGCTGCTGGCCCGCGGGCTGGGCTGGGCTGTGCCCGCCCGAGCGCAGGGAAAAGCCTGGAGCCAGGGAAAAGCACAAGGAGGATTCGGGGGCGAACCCTCACCCCGCCAGCGAGAGCTGACGGGGAGGAAGCTGTGCATCCCTGGCTCCCGGGTTTGCCGGATTCACACCCAAACCCCGCAGCCAGGCGGGTCCCTGCGCTGGCAGGAGCCTCGGGGTGCCCGGGGTGCCCCACAGGTGCCCCTCACCTGTGCCCCCCGTGCCCGCACTGCCGCAGTGACACTGAGCGGCTGCCACGGGCACGTCCTGCTGCCGGAGGGGACCGAGCCCAGCCGCCCCCGCCGCCACCTCTGTCACCGCCGCCACCTCTGGCACCGCCTCTGGCACCGCACGGAGCCCCCGGCCGGGCAGGTGCGGCTGCGCTCCTCCGCTTCCTTTGCCCGGTTTATGACATGATCATAAAAGCATCCTCTAGCACCGTGACTGCTAAATTAAGCATTGTTACTAATTAGAGCTTTCAGAGCCTAATAACTAATGCTGTTGTTCGGCTTGGAAGTGCCCCGACCGAAAGGGCAATTCCTCCCCTAGCCACCCCCCAGCATCTGTGGGATCTGCCCCAAAGCTCAGGGGACGCCTTTGTCCCCGCAGCAGGATGTGAGCCACAGCCTTGGCCGTGCACACAGGAGAGGGCTGAGCCCCAGAGCCCCCAGATCACCTCCCTCACCCCGGACACTTGGGTGACCCGCCAGCACTGATGGCACCGGCGCTGGGTGCCACTGAGAGCATCGGGGGCGCGGCGATGAGCCCCCTCCCCAGCCAGGAGCACGGAGGGCAGGGCGGGCATCCCACCCCGCCAGCGGGGTCCCTTTGCACGCCGCGGATGAAAAGGCAGAGCTGGGACTTTTGAAACTCCAAGCTTTATTGAGTTGCTTCGGCAGCGCGGGCATCACACGGGGGGAGGCGGGAGGCGAGGCCGCGGGGGCACAGCGGCGGCCGGGGGAACGCTTGCTCCGCTCCCCGCGCCCCGGCACGGGCCGGGGGCTTTAGTTGGTGGGGTGGTAGGCACCGCGCTGGTGCCACTGCATGTCCCGGATGCGCCTGACCGACTGGATCTGGGGGTGCTGAGCGCCGAAGTCTGAGCTGTCCTTGTAGTCCCCCTTTTCAAACAGGTACTGGTAGCCCCGGTAGCCAGGGTACTGGTATCCCACCCACCTGGGAAGGCAAGTGGAGAGGGGGGGGGGTCACACAACACACGCAGCCCAAGCATCGCCCTGCGGAGCCCAGCCCCGCGGGATGCTCGCCCAGCCGGCCCCGGTACTCACGTGCCGCTCTGCACCCGCACGGAGGAGACCTTCTCCTGGTAGCCGTGGGCGTGGAAGCTGGGCACATCGTCGTCTATGATTTCGATCTTCTTGCCGGTGAAGCTGGGGTTTTCGTACAGCACGATCTTGTGCTCCTGGCTGTCCTGCAGCCGGCAGAGCAGAGACCGGGGGTCAGCGGCTGCCGGCCCCGCGGGGCTGGGCTGGGCAGGGGGGGCAGAGCCCAGGGCTATGGGGAACCCGAGGCCAGGGCCGGCACCGTGTGCCGCCGCTCCCACCGATGCCGGGGGTGCTCCGCATCCCTCCATCCATCCATCCATCCATCCATCCATCCATCCATCCATCCATCCATCCATTCGTCCCTCCATCCCTCCATCCATCCATCTCAGAGAGCCGCTGCCTGCGTGGGCACTGCCAGACTTACCAGCAGACGTCCTCGGCTCTGGGGTCACCTGCCACTGCCCCCGTCCCCGCGCCCCCTCCGACCCCCCCACGGCTCCCCGGGCCCCGAGGGCTGGGGCGAGGGTGCGCAGGAGGGGGTGCCCCTCCGCCCGCGGGGCTGGGGAGGGCGGGGGAAGGCTGGGGAAGACTTCTGGCTGCAGACCTTGGTCTGGCGGGTGGGTAGTGGCTGTCTGGGTGCTCTCACCACTTTGATGGGTCTCAGGGAAGTGATGCTGTCGCTTCTCCGGCTGTTGGTCCAGGAGTCCCAGCGGGGGTACTCCCCCTTCTCAAACACAAACTGCTCCCCTTTGCAGCTTGCCTGCTCGTAGCCCACCCAGCTGGAAGAGAGCAGGGGACGCGCTTTAGCGGGGGCAGCGGAGCGGGGGTCGGCCCCTGGCACCGCCCCCGGCGAGCGCCCGGGCTGAGCCCCAGCCGTGCCCCCGCTCCCTGCCGGGAAGGGAGAGATGCCAGGGAGGTGCCAGGGGGGCTGCGGTGTCTCAGCCCAGCACTGGCACCGCAGCGCTTCCCGCTGGGGATGCTCCGAACTGGTGGCCACCCATCCTTGGTCCCTGGGGACTCACGGGATCACCCAAATGTCCCAGCTGGGGTTGTGCTCCTGCCAGCTGTCCCTTTGTTCTGCGAGCAGCACTGCTGGGTGCAGGCTGGGAACACTTCAGGGGCTTTTCGGGGGCTCTCCCTTGCCCGGAGCCCGTGGCTTGGAGAGCACACACAGGGCCAGCAGGTGGGGAGAGGGCACAAGCGGGTCTCAGTCTCACCTGTCCCCTCTCCCAAAGGGAGGGAAACCAAACTGGGGGTAACGCTGTGATCTCTGCCCACGCCCACACCCCTCCACTCTCCTGCCGCTGAGCGGGGCTATCAGCCTGTCTAGGCGACAGTGCCACCCCCTGTTCACCCACTGTGTCCCCCTGCTCACCTGCTGGCACCGGGCACTCCCTGGGGTGAGGCGGGCGAGCAGCTCAGCCGCGCTGGCCACAGGAACCCCGCGCTGCGATGCGGGAGTGGCAGTGGGGAGACGGGTGTCACCCTCCCTGCCACCACTACGGAGGGCACACGCTGTCCCCGACGCATCTGCAGCAGCCCAGACCTCTCCCTCTCCGAAAACTGCACTCCAGAGGTTTTTCGGGAGCCTGCAAGTGCAAGGCACCGCTGCCACCCCTCTGAGGGTGCAGGTCTCACCCACGGGTGCCCACCAGGCCCTGCCAGCTCTGTCCCAGAGCCTCGGGATGCCCACGCTCACAGCGGGCATCAAACAGCTGAGGGACTCTGGTTGTGGCTGGAGCACCGCAGCCACCAGAGGGACACGGCGACCCGGACACCCCGGGACAGCTCGGTGACAGCCCTGGGGCCACCAGCCCAGCCCAGATCTCAAGGGTCAGCGACAGTGGTGGGAGATCAGCACTTGATCTGTTCCCAGCCGCTCCACCTGCCCCGAGGCCGAGGGATGCCAAAAATTTCCCATTCTCCATCCCCTGGTCCTGCTGCAAAGGCTCAGCAGCGCTGCCGGCCGTGCCTGGCACCAGCCGGGAGTGCCGGCAAGGGGAGTTCGGCTGCTCCCAGCAGTGCCTCCGGGTATGATTTGGGCACCCAGAGAGGCTGAGGGTGCCCTGGCCCCGCTGCGGGGCTGGGCAGTCTCCCACTGACCTTGGAGCTGGCTTGCTGCTGCTTGGAGGCTGGCATTTGGTGCTCGGAAGCCATCATCAGCTGGGTTGTCTGCTGCCTTGGGAGGGAAAATCTGCACGTTAAAATCTGCCCCTGAGGCCATGCTGGGGACCCTGCTCAGAGCCCCGTGCCCTGTGTCCATGCCCCCATCTGTGCCCTGCAGTTTGCCCAGGGAAGGGGGTGGTGGAACCAGGGCTTGCAGCAGGATAGGCTCAGCCTAGGGGTGCCAAGGACAAACTCTGCTGGGGCTGCTCAGCACCCCAAAACCTCCCCAGGCTCAGGCAATGGTCCCTGGGACCTGCCTGGGGTCTCCAGCCCAGGGAACCGTGAGCCTAGGGAATTCCTAAATCATTCCCAGTGGAGCCCAGGCCCTGTGGTCGAGGATTTCCTGCTGTCCCTGTCCAGCTGAGGTCCCAGTCCCATGTGGGTGCTGGAAGGGGTGATGGAGAGAAGCACTGGGGCTCCCCCACCAGCCCCAGCCCCAGGAGCCTGTGCCGAGCCCTCCCGACCCAGCCTGGCACTGCCACTCCCGGGAAGGAGCCCCGTCCCCAGGCCCAGAGGGACCCTCGCTATCCGAGCAGCTCCAAAAGAGGTGAAAACTCGTTCCTGACAAAAAGAACCGGAGCCGTGGATGGGTGGCTTTGGGCTGCGGAGACAGGACTGTCCCCGGCTCAGCCGCTGCTGGCACCGGGAAGGGACCCGGGCCCCGGGGGTCTGCAGGAGGCTACGGCAAAAGAGAGGACAATAAAGAGCAAAGTCTTACCAGTTATACCAGTACCCGCTTGAGCCAGTGGCGGGCTGGGGCCGGGAGGTGGAATTTATACCGAGCTGCAGCAGAGAGGTGCCAAAACTATTCACAAAATAGTTAAAGCCTGATTCAAAGCGAGAATGCTGGATTAAACCCCAATGAAAACCAGGGTCAGCTGATCCGCCGCAGCCTTTGTCTGCCCGAGCACCAAGCCCGAGTTATTTCATTACCTGTCACATTCGAGTCACCCGCTTTGTCGGGCTGGTGGCGAAGAGATTTGGAGTTTGCAAGCATCAGCCGAACGCGTGCCAAGAGCCGGGGCGAGCCGGGCCAACAAAGCCCCGCCAGCCCCGCTTCGGGCGTTTCGGGGCCAGAGCCTTGATCCCCCCGAGAGCCCGGCAGCCGCCGCCGGGGCTGCTGAGCTCGGCTCTTTCCATGCGCGATAAAACGCCCCGGAGCGCTGGCAGCGTCTGGCTCTGCCCGTCTGCAGCCCGGGATGGGCAGGGGCTGCGGCCGCTCCTGGGGCAGGGCAGAGCCCGGGCAGCACCCTGGGCCTGGGGTGCACCCAGTGGGGGGCGTTGGGCTCCTTTGGGGACCCTGAGAAGAACCCCAGGGTGACACCAGGACAAAGCTGAGGTGACGAGGGGCTCACAGTCCCCAGGGCTGGGATGTGCCTGGATGGGCAGCACAGCCAGAGGGGCGAGGGCAGCAGCAGGGTCCCTTTGCTGGCTTTGTCCCTTTGCTGGCATTGTGCCTTTTCTGGCTTTGTCCTTTTGCTGGTTTTGTCCCTTTGCTGGCTTTGTCCCTTTGCTGGCTTTGTCCTTTTGCTGGCTTTCTCCCTTTTCTGGCGTTGTCCCTTTGCTGGCGTTGTCCCGGCAGCTGAGCCAGGCCCCTTTGCTGGCTTTGTCCCTTTGCTGGCGTTGTCCCTTTGCTGGCGTTGTCCCAGCAGTTGCACAGGGCTGCACAGGGCTGGGGGCTGCAGCAAAGGAGGTTTCACAGAGAGGGGACACTGCTGCTGCTGTGCAGCACCCACAGACCACTTCACCCCACAGAGGAGCTGGATTCACCCCCTGTCACCCCAGCAAGCGTCACCCAGCATGAACAGACCCCACACCTGCCCCTTCCCTCAAAAAGCACCTCCCGAGGGTCCCACAGCAGGAGATGGGCTGCAGCCCCCACAGGGTCACCTCTGCCACATCCCCTGCCCCAGGACGGCTGCACACAGGGTCACCCACAGGGTGCTGTCACCAGAGCCTACCCTCGTAGTGACGTGTGGGGGGGTCAGTCCCCAGGGTCTGCAGCTGCCCCAGCTCCAGGTGATGGGGTATCCAGGGTCAGAGGGACCAAGGTGACCTTGCAGCTCTGCAAGGAACCCATCAGGCCATGGACAGGCCAGGGTGTGATCCAGCTTCCAGCATTCCCAGCTCTGAAATCCTCCTTTCTTGCCTGTGTCTCCTGCTGCAGCCCCACAGATGGATCCAGTATTGCCCTCCCCATCTCCTGGGTTAATCCATTCAGTTAATCCCACGCCCTGGACCCTCATGGGCCTGTCCCAGGTCCCAGAGCAGCCCTGCAGCCACATCCCACCCCTCAGCACCTCAGCACGGCGCTGTCTCAGTGCTCAGCACAGCCCCAGTGATCCCCTCCCTAGGCTGGGCTGGTTTAGCTCATCCCAGCCCTGGGCAGTGGTGGTGCCTCAGACCCCAGCCTGTGGCAGCCCTGTGGAATGTTCTGGAAGCAGCTTCTGTCTCTTGGAGCCAGGCACTTGCCTTCCACAGCCACCAACCCCCCCAAAAAGGGAAAAGCTCCTGGGGGGTTGCTCAGGGACCTGCACAAAGCCCTCGGGGGGACTCAAGCCCATCTCCCCTCTCTGTCCCAGCCCAGTGGGTCCCCACGTGTGGCCACAGTGCCCGTGGGGAAGGGCAGTGCCAGGGCAGCTCAGTGTCCCACCAGCACCCTGTGGCACCCCTGAACCCCCACCTCTGCCCCCAGGACAGCCCCCCCATGTCAGAGCTCATTCCCGTGGGAGAAACCACCCCAGGACTGTGGGAAACTTCTCTGGGGACAGGCTGGAGACCCTGCAGGACGCTGAGGTGGGGCACAGCTGTCCCACCACGGGATGAGCCCCCCTTGGAGCGCACAGGGCCTGGCACCAGCCAGGGATGGCTGCTCCACATCCCCCCCGGCCCCCTCCCTGCCCTGGGGCTGGCCAGCAGCCCTGGGAGCGGGCAGGAGATGCTGTGAAAAGGGACAGAGCCACTGGAAAAACCCTGACGCGGCAGCACCGGGCGTTATTTTTGGAAAGCTGCAGCCTTTGTGTAACACTGCAAACACTGGCACTCTCCCCTCTGCCCTCTGTGGGGTTGCTGGGCACGGCCACAGCCCCATCCCCATCCCCATCCCCATCCCCCTGCCCCCCTCCCCGACCTCCCCCAGCCCAGGACCAGGCAGGCCCCGGCAGCCTCCAGCTCAGAGCTTTATTGAGGTTTTTGCACAAAAATCACCACGGTCACGGCAGCGGCCGGGGGACCCCGCGAGGGCCCCGGGGGGGGCTGGGGGTCCCTCAGCTGTTCTCGAAGCAGCCCCGCTGGTGCCACTGCTGGTCCCGCACGCGGCGCACCGACTGGATCAGGGGCTGGTTGGCGTCCCACTCGTTCCAGTGCCGGTACTCGCCCTTCTCAAAGACGTGCTGGCGGCCCCGGTAGCCGGGGTACTCGTAGCCCACCCACCTGCGGGGACCGAGGCAGTGCTCAGCAGTGCCCACCCCACACCCCCCAGAACAGGGGCACTGTCCCCATCCCCATCCCAGTGTCCCCATCTCTGCCTGCCACAGCCAGGTGACGCTGCCCAGGGCCACTCCTGTGTCACCAAGTGCCACCTCACAGGCTGCAGCTGCAGTGCCCAGGTGGGAAATGCTGTGTGCTAGGAGGGGATGGAGAGTTCAAGGGACCACAGCTCCACTGCTCTTTGGTGGGTTAGGACAAGGAGCCATCATCCAGCCCCAGGGACACTGCCATGGTCCCTGTGACACTCTGTGGGCCAGAGAAAAGGTGGCAGCAGGGAAGGAACAAGGGACACAATGGGCACAAGCAGCACCATGGGAGCAGCTGCCCCACTGCAGTGGCTGCGCCAGCTGCCCCTGCCATCACCCTGGGGAGACCAACCACAGTGCCACGGGCAGGAACCTGCTGAGGTGTCCCCTGTGTCCCCATCCTTACGTTCCATTCAGGGCCTTGACGCTGGCCACACGGTCCTGGAAGCCGTGGGCCCAGAGGCTGGGCACGTCGTCATCCACGATCTCCATCTTGCGCCCGGTGTAGCCCGCGTTCTCAAACAGGTGGATCTTGTGGTCAGCGCTGTCCTGGGGGAACGGGCGGGTCAGGGGCTGTCCCCTGATTGTCCCCAGCGCCGTGGCCACCCCAGCACAGCCCTACTCACAATCTGGAGGGGCCGGATGGACATCAGGCTGTCGCTGCTGTGGCTGTTGGACCACGAGTCCCAGCGGGGGTAGTCGCCCTTCTCCAGCACGAACTGCTCCCCGGCGTAGGCCTGGCGCTCGAAGCCCAGCCACCTGCAGGAGCCCAGGGTCAGGGGGATGCTCTCCCTGCCACCTCCTGGGGCTGCTCCACCTTCCCCACCCCAGACTTACGGGCCAGACTCCACCTGGATGGAGCCCACCTTCTCCATCTCCTTCTCGGTGATGTTGGGGAGCTCCTCTGTCAGCTCACACCTTTTCCCCTGGAAATTCTCCAGCTCGTAGATTGTGATCTAAGGTGGGGAGAGATGTTGTCAGCCACCACAGCAGGAAACGGGTGCAGCAGTGATCAAAGGGCTCTGGCAGTGTCCCTCCATCCCATCCTGTGCCAATGTCACTCCTTGCCCGGCAGAGCTGGGTCCTGCCAGTGCCACTGCCCTGACAGAGCTCCGGCCAAGGGTGCCTGTTTGGTAAAGCACAAGCTGGAATTTTGTCCATGACAGGCTGAAAACCAGACCACACACAGCACTGGAAACACAGAAGGTTTGGGCTAAGAGAATTCTTGAGCCATGGGCTGCCTCTCCTACCCCCAGGCTGGTCATTGCCCATTACCATTTCCTTATCACTGCTTCCTCCAGATCTGACCATACCCTTGACCTGGCCTGGCACGAGCTCTTTATTCAGTGTTTTCTTCTAAGCCCTGCCAGCTGCAGAGACCCCAGTGCCTGCCCAGGCTGCCCTGCTCCCAGCAGAGCCTCGAGGCTGAGCTGCAGGATGGGCTGGAGCCAGTGCCAGTGGCCAGAGCATGGCATGGGGCAGGGCCCAGCGTGCCCAGCACCATTCAGGGGGCAGGAGGGTCAGTGGGGTGACCAGGCACTCCCTGGCACTGTCCCAAAGGGGTCCCAGCTGCAGCACCTCAGTCTGGGACAAGGGCAGAGCCTCCTGCACACACCACATAACGGGGAAATCAAGAGACACAGATGATACCCAGGTTCCTCAGGAGCAAATAAACAATAAACTGCCCCAGCTCCTGGCACCCTTCTCCCACTGGCAGGATCTGCTCCCACCTTCAGCCTTCCCTGTCCAGGAGCTTTGCGGAAAGCTCTGCACCCACTGCATCCTCTGCAGCTGAATCCCAACCTACAAACACACCTGGGGAGTTTCAGTGCCTGGGCCCCCAGCTGATCCTGCTGTGCTGGGATGCTTCATCTCCTGGATTAAATCCCTGGGCAGCTGCACACCAGCCTGGCCAGCCAATGGCCTTGGCAGCCTCGCAGGCAGGGAGCAGTGTCCCTCCCGCAGGCAGCAGCAGCAGATCCCCAGCCCCAGCTGCTTCCCAACCTGCAGCCCACCCTGGGCTCCACACCAGAGCAGGGCCACCACCCACTGCTGCTGTGGGAGCTGGAGGCCACTCCTGTCCCCAGCAGCACCTGCAGTGCTGGCACTGGTTCCAGCCTGGCATGAGCACACCACATCCCACGGCTCCACCCAGCCTCCAGATGTCCCCAGTACAGCCCAGTACAGCCCAGTATACCTTGTAGTTGCCACCTCGCTCGCCAGCACCCTCCCCAGTCGCCATCTGCTCGGGGGGACTTTGCTGCTCGGTCATTGTGCCTGGAAAACCCAAATTGCAGGAGGTTAAGGCAGGAGGCACCGGGATTTACAGCTGGTAATGAAACACAGAGGATGAAGCTGGCTCAGAACAGGCAGCAGGGGTTAGCACAGACCCCGATGCAGCAGCTGTAAATCCCCAGGGACGTCCAGGGTAGCAGCAAGCTCTGTTATCCATCCTCCTCTCCCTTGTGCACACAGGCCCCAAATCCTCACCCAGGCACCCACAGGACTGAACCAAGGCACGTCCCAAGTGACACGGATTCATTCCTCTGCCCAGGGCAGCTCACCCAGCTGCCACTGACCTCCCGTCTCACAGCCCCGCCTCTGTTCCCAGCAGGAATTTCTCAGCTTCCAGCTGCTGACATCTTTCCCCACAACATAAATCTGACACATCTCCCTTGCTCCAGCATCCCAGGGGACACCAAACCCGGCAGCTGGAGCTGCTGCTGTCTTGGCCGGGGGGGACGGCAGTGAGAGCCCCCTCTTCACTCTCCAGGAACATCCACAAAACTCTGCTCCAACATTGGAACACGCCTTCCCCGGCCACGCCACGCTGCCAAGGGGCTTAGAGGAGTTTGATAAGGTCCTGAATCAAACCCTGCAGCTTCACTTCTGGCCAAACCCTTCGCTGGGGGACTCAGGCACACCAACTCTTTGGAAAGCCCCTTGCAGTCCCAGCAGTGCTACCTCTCCGTGCGGTTCCGCTGTGCCGGGCGGCGCGGGCGGCCCCGCTATTTATGGGTTGCTTCTGAACAGAACAGCAGAATTCCCCGAGCGCTGATGCAGCAGCTGCGTCCACGGAATTCCAGCCATGGGATTTCCTCTCAATAGCGAGGCGGGCGCGCAGCGGGCGATGGAAACGTCATGCGGATTTCTCCCGGCCGTCCCTCGCACACGGGCCGCTCGATTTACAGAAGATTAACGTCGAAATTCACATCAGCACGTTCACGCTGCTTCTTGCCAGCTTCTCTGGAAAACTCTGCCGTCAGCAGTTCACCGGAGGGTTTAGCCTGGAAACCGAGGGCAGCGCGAAGCAAAAACCGGGCAAAATGTCCCCGATTGTGAGGGCTCCACGCAAGGAGTGACACAGGGCCGGGGTCGGCTCCAGGAACTCGGCGGGAAGCTGGAGCAGCTCAGCATTTCCAGACTGGTGTTCTTGCTTTAACTTCAGCCCTATGCAGGTTCTCTCCATGGAGTTCCTTTGTTTTCTCTGCCCAGCATTTCCCAGGAACACGCTGGGAACGCATCCTGGGGTGTGTCACAAGGGATTTCTGGAGCCTGGTACAAGGGTTTATCCATCTTCACAGGCACAGGGCGATGTAAGGCATCCAACTGGGAGCATTTCACACCAGGCATCAAACTGGGAGCATTCCACTCTGCTGGCAGCAGGCCAGACTCCCTCTTCACCTCTGAGAGTCCCTTCAGACCCAAACCATCCTGATTCCTCAGGGAATATTTTATTCAGCTGCACACATCCCCATTTACTACGGTCCTTGCAGGTTTTTCTACCTGCTCTGAGTGTGGCTCATCTTGAAACCAACAGCTTACCCACAAAACCTTTAGTTTAAAAGCCAGGAAAGTGAATCCCCTGGGCCAGGCTGGACAAACTGAATGGCAGAGGGATGGAAAAAATCTCTCCTGCATTTTGTGTTAGAATGAAGCCCTTCAGCCCCACCCCATCCCTGCCTCGCTGGGTGATGCTCCAGGCCTGGTGTGACAGGGATCACCCAGGTGTCTCCAAATGACTCTTCCTCACTCTGCCCATCCTGTGGTTCCTGACGAAGATTTGCTGGCCCCATCAGAGCTGTCCCATAGGTGCCTCAGCTGAGGAGGGATGGATTCATTTCTGTCTCGCCAAACACAACATCAGCTGTCCTCAACAAATCAGAAACAAAGAATTTCTCGTGCCAGTCCCTTCCTTCCCACCGAGCTCTGCCACAGCCTCAGGGCACTGGATCTGCCTCTCCCAGCTCTCCACACAGTCAAGGCAATTCCAAAAACATGACAGAAGGGGCGCTGGATCTCCTTGATGCCTCTTCCAAACAAACCTCAATTTCCTCTCCCTGTCAGCCTCTTAAATCCCTTTGAAAAATGACTGTTAAAAAATAGATTTTTTTTTTTTTTTTGTTAATACCTGGCAAAGCTAAACTGGAACTGTAATGGTACAGAACAAAACAGAGCAGCCAGAATATCTTTATTCCCTAGTCAACTGTGTAACACAAAATATAGGATTTCTATCACACTACCTATGTATTCATTGTGACCCAGATTACAGACTCTATAAGGCTACATGGAGCAATGTAAAAGCTTAATCTCCACAAGAGCTCCTTCAAAACCAGATCTGACACCATTTTGTTTAATATGGAATGAGAAAAACCCATAAACCACCAGACCTTGGATTCCCTCCTCTGCCAATCCCACCGGAAGAACCAGAAGTTTTTTCAGGTTATATTTTTGCAATACATTTATTCTCGGGTGAACAGGACAGCCATGGAACAGCTCACCACCAGCTGGGGAAGGATTCCCACCCTCCATCCTGCTCCACTCCCAGGGTGAGCAGAGCTAGGCCTGGACTCTGCAGTCCCTGCCAGAACACCCCAAATCCCTTTAAAGCTCCATGGAGGTGGCTTCAAACAATCACAGGATTATTTGGGTTGGAAGGGACCTCAAAGCTCATCTCATTCTGCCCCGCTGCTCCCCCAGCCTTCCACTAGACCAGGTTGCTCCAAGCCCTGTCTCCAACCTGGCCCCAAAGGTCTTCACCTCCTGGAAGTCCATTTTTAAAAGGAATTAAAGCAAATACCTGCTTTCCTTCTCAGCACTGGGCTGAAGGGATGGATCCAACACCTCCCTCACTTGGCTGCAGCTGCTCTTGCCCCAGTGTCCTTCAGGGAGGTGCAGGCAGTGACCTTGGGCTGACAGGGAGCACAGTTACGGTGACAGCTCTGGATTTCACTGGAATAGTCTGTTTTACCCCCAGAGCTGGCTTGGGGACAGCAGTGACAGCTCTGGGTAGTCACCCCAGAGGTTCTGTACCTGGATACACCTCGTGAGGCAGAGCCACCCCCCGAGTTAGCACCCCAGAACTGCCCAGCTGCCCCCGAAACACACCATCCCTGCAGAAATCAGGATTTGCTGCTCCAAACCTTCTACAGGTCACACTTGGTATTCCCAAATCTGCCCCAGGTGCATTTCAGTTTGCAAACAAGGAACAGGGTGAAACAAACTTCTGTGGGAAGGAAAAGGGGATGGAGTGTGGGGGTTAAATCCTATGGAAAGTCTGGGGCTGTCAAAGGTTGGAGAACCAAGCATTGCTTCTTTCTCTACAGGAAGTGAAAGGCTCTGGTGGATGAGGACCAAACTGAACATGTTAAAAAGGTGAATTTGCAAACAGAAAAATAAAAAAAGAAGAAATCTACAACTGGGAATTCCAATAAAAATTGGAATGGAGCAGCTGTGCAAGTCCCTGACATGTCACCTGGAGCAGGGATAGCTGGGGATCATGAGGAGGGCAGTCAGAAAGTGTTCCTGAATTCCACAAAACACATCATCCCACCTTTAAACCCAATATTGATGCGGCTTTTTAAGCAAGGAGGAACAGCTGAGGAGCTGTGAGGGGAGAGACAAAGGACATGGCAGGCCCTCCATCACCTTCAGCATCACTTTTTGGACAAGAGCTGAACCTGCTCCAGGGCAGGATCCAGGAGTGAAGGAAGCAGCACATCTGAAGGAATCTTAGAGCTCACTTCCATCTCAAATAAACAGCAGGAAAAAGCACATGGCAACAAAAGTGAAAGCATAAAAAATTTCAAGAAGCATTATTTGGAATTAAAATAGAATTATATAAAGTGTATTACAGTCTGTTCTATCATTTAAGTAATAACATATTTATATATCTTTTATTACAGAGCGATAACCCGAAGAGAAGGAAGTCGATATTTAATCCATGTACAATATAAAGAAATAACAGAGCAGAAAAAAACACTTTCCCATTCAACAACATTCTAAAGATGCTCTTTAATTAGACATTTAAGCATTAAACATTTCTCAGTAGTAGGTTAAACTACTCAATACAGTAATTTCAGTGCATTGTCCAAGCAGATGTGGAAATGCAAACACATTCAAGGGCTGTGTGGAAACCTCGTGTCAATCCCCTCAGTTTCCTCAACACAAACAGTTACAGAATTTCTGGCCTAGACCAAGAACCAGTAAATCCTCCAACTGCTGGGAACACAACACTGTCACCCGTGGAAGTGGAAAACGCAGCCTGTGTGAATGTTCCTGTGAGCAGGGACTGATTTCTGGAGATGGGAGGTGCCACTTGATGTGAGTGAGAACAGCCACCATCATCATCCTCCTCACCTGCACCTGCTGCTCCGGCTGGCCCAGGTGAGTGCCACACACCACGGAACCCTTGGGTGCTGCCACAGGAATACACCCCAAAAAACACACCAAGAGTCACCCCTTCCACCACCGTCTAAAGGAGAGGGAAGGAAATTTGTGCAAGGTTTTAAAAGGAGCTGGTCAATGGTGGTGGCTGCACTGACACGGCCCACCCCCAAAATTCCATCAGAATCCTGGGGATCACTGCTCTTTGGGGAGCAGAGGGGCTGCCAAAATAACAGTGGCAACAGCTCCCATGAGAAACAGGGCAAAGCAACAGGGAAAAGACTTTTACATCAGACAGATGTCTCCATCTCATCTCCAGGGAGCACAGGGAGCTGCCACCAGAATAAAATCCGGGAGATGTGCAGATGGGACTTGTCTCCTGCCATCCTGCTGCTATTTCATCCTGCTGCTATTTCCTGCAGACTGGGACTGCAAAGCCCCCCCTGTGACTCCTCCATGAGGTGAATTGGCACATGGTTTTGGCAGCTCCAAGCCTGACAGACATTGGCCTGGGCAGGCCCCACGGGAGCCGCGCTCCCAAAACGCTGATTGGGGGAAAAAAAAAAAAAAGACAAAAAGGAAAAGGAGCTGAAGTGCTGGTGCTTTATGGTTTTTATCCACAGGAGCCCCTCAGCAGGACGTGGGGAGCGCAGCCCAAGGAGCTCTGCCAGGTGAGGAGAGCTCTCCACTCTCCTTTTCCCTATTCCATGTTTTCCTGGTTGAGCCTGAGGAACACCTGGAGTCACCTCCCTCCCTGGGCTACTAGACTTTCAAAGGTTACTGAAAGAGCACTTATCTGGGGCAAGAATCAAGCCTGTCTTCCATGGCCATGGTGGTTGGTGCTTCAGAATGAGCCACAGACAGGGAATATCTGAGAATTAGGGATACCCAAACACCCGTGGAGTCCAGGAGATCTCTACTCCGCTATCAGCACATCTTGCCAAAGGAAAGACAGGAAATCATCTGAGAAACTGAAGATCACATTTAGGTTATCCCACAAAATCAGCATAAAAATAAAAACTTAAACTTGGTATTTACAGATTAACAAATAAAAATATGAAGTGGGACTATCTGAACTGCTATTAAAGTGACATTCAACAATTAACTGGAACCCTGATATGAGTGTAACATCCTCCCTCTTCCCTTCCTTTTTTGTTATAAAAACAGTATTTACATATTTTTACTTTTTTTTTTTTAAAGAGAACTGGTTGACATTATTGCTTGATCCTTTTTAGGAAAGACATTCCAATGAAGCAATTATTCCACATGCTGACAAAACACAGAATATACCACTTCAAGAGTGACAAAAGTTAACATTTTGTTCATCTAAAAATTATCTCCATCTGCCAGGTCAGCAGATCACATGTAAATACAAGCCAATCAAAAATACATTTTACAAAAAATAATCAAGTTTCCTTTTTCAATATGGCAGTAAACATGATTTGTTCTTCCACTCTCACCTTCCACAAATTTCATTCTAAATAGGAGCTTACTATTTGTTCACAAAAAAAAAAAAAAAAAGATAAATTTGATTAAAATTATTATTTTCATAAACAAACACAAAGCCCAGCCAGACACAACTCCCAGAGGTGAACACCTACAGAGTCTGTTCCACAGCGAGGGGAGTTCCCTGGATCACAGCACTCCCAAATTTCTCTGTTTTCCAAGACTTTCTGAAGTGCTAACTGTGACCCAGGGGGGTTCTCCTGGCAGGCAGCTCTGAAGTGCCACTGTCCCCCCGAGCTGACACACACAGCTTTGTATTTGACTATGAATTGAAGCAGCTTTTCTCCACAAAACAGGAAGGCACCATGCACAGAGCAGTTGAGGCAGGAAGCAAACAGCAGCAACATGACATGGGGGTTTAGGTTCAGATGAGTTAAGGCTTCTGTTAAACTTCTTTATCTTCTCCCAGTTAGAATCACTGTCTGCAAAGGAAAACAGAAGGAAGGGCGTGATATGGTCAGTTGGAACAGGAACCCCTTAAAATGTGTTTTCTTTTGTAGTGCCACCTTGGTTGTGTCTATTTAATGCATTAAATGCTCAAGAGCCACCCAGAATTGTGCTGAAACCACACAAAGTTTTCAAACTTTGGGAAATCCCAAGAGAGGAGGGTTATGGAAATCAAATGATGTGCAGAGGATCAGTGGAACTGTGACTGGGGGTGGAGGGGCACCAGTCCCTGACAGCCCTGGTGCACAGAGCAGTGCTGGTGGGGCCACAGTGGTGACACCAACACATCAAAGGAAATGTGAGTTTGTCACTGCACACCTGCACCCACCCAAGCCCCACTTCCCACACAAGTACCTTTTCAAACCTGATTCTCATAATGGCTCTGTCTCTTCTTTGATTTCAGCTCCTTCAGCCACTGAGGAGACTTTTCTTCTGACCTATGATATAAAAAAAAACCAAACAAACAACTCTTTATTCTTTCACTATGAAAACTCCTGCCAGAAACAACAACAACAAAAAAGGAATGTCCAGCTTGTTGCATCATTTTTTCCTTCCACCAAGAAGAGCATGAGCCTTTTCCCGACGCTGGGATTCTCTCACCTGTCCTCCTTTTCCACACTGGAGGGCAGCACTCTGCTGCCGGGAGTGCCGAGCTGTGCTTTGGGGGATTTGAAGAGCTGAGCAGAGCCCATGTCACCAGTGCTCTCAGACTCCTGTCTTTTCCGCAGCTGGGCCTAAATATAAAAATAAATAAAGCCTTTTAAGCCAGCATCCAGGATTTTTTTTTTTTTTTGGAATGTAGAATGGATCACTCCAGATTTATAAAAACAAAAAATTGTCCTGAAATGAGTGAGGGAATTCCTTATAAAGCACCTACAGGTACTGAATTGGTTTATCTCCCACCTAGTGGGCTCTGCCTGAGCTCACCTTGAGAACAGAGTGATCCATCCCTGGGAACACGGGCAGTCTCTGGGCTTGCACAGAAGATGACCTCGGAGTGTGCTGGATCCTGTCTTCCTCCTCAGAATCTTCCTGTTGCATAGTTTTCTTCTCTTCTAATTAATTGTTAAAAAAAAAAAAAGCAGAGGGGGAAACCATGAGCTGGCTTTTCATCCCTGCCTTGTTCAACATCTCTTCCTGCAGGAATGAAGGGCAGTATTTAAAAAGCACCTTTTACCAACTCCTGCCCTTGCACCCAAGGCTGACCACAACCAATTATTCCATCATAACTGAGGGGTTACCTGTGGAATCTTTGAACATCCAGCCATTATCTGATTCTTCTGTCAAGGAAAACCTGTTCTCCATGTCCAGCCCTCTGCTCCTGCGCAGCGAGTGCGACGCGGGCGCCCGGCACCGGCGCTTCTTGCTCAGCTGCACCCGAGTCTTCAGAGCACTGGAGTCCAGGACAGCTGTGTGCTGCAGAAACACACACCTGGGAATGAGCCCCAGCTCCTCCACAGTGAAATCCCAACCCACTTGATTGCATTCACTCATTAAAATGGATATTTGTCTGATTATTATTATTGCTGTCACTTAAAATCTTATTAAAGAGAGTGTGCGATGAGGACATGGTACCTTGTGGCTAACTGGGTGTAATCCTTTGACCTCCCTAGGCTGTGGACACCTGAATTACATGAGTAATTTGGACTAAATTAATATAAAAAATAACTGCAATAATCAGGAGTTTAGTTCCTGGAGTGTTTTATGAATACAGGCCTTGCTAGCTGGTAGTAGCTGAAGGCAAATCCTGAGATGGGGGTCTAAAAAGAACAACTACACAAAATTCCCTTGGAGAGCAGAGCTGCAGCTTTCCTGCCAGCCACAAACACTCAAAGCCACCCACCAGCAACAAGGACACTCCAAGTTTAGTGCCCCAGCATTCAGAAACCTTCTGTAATCAGTCATTTCCAATGCATCCAACCAGCAGGAACATTTACAGAGCAAAGTAAGGAGCTGTAATTTATTTCCTTGCTTAAAGCAATGTGCTTTTACAGGTTTGCCTGTAACCATCAAATATCCCTGAGCCTCCCCTTCTCCAGAAGATGTGGGTTTGCTCCTTTTTTCAAAAGATTTCAGGTCAGGAATAAACTACTTATCACACAGCATTTGCCAGCTGAACTTAGAGCTATTAATGTTTTACAGAGACATCGTTAGTAGCCCAGGGACAAAACAAAATCTTCTGGAAGTGTTAAAACACCGTCAAACACTGTGTGGATGTGGCATGTGGGGACATGGTGGTGGTGGCCTTGGCAGTGCTGGGGGAACAGTTGGACTCAATGATCTTAGAGGGCTTTTCCAAACTAAACACACTTCTTTCAGCACTGGACCTCATTAACTGTGTATGGCCAGAAACTCCTGGTCTTACATCAAATGCAAGATTATTCAATTAAAAAAAAAAAAATCCTTTGAAATGTAACTGTGAGCTACTGTGGAAAGAAACCAATTGTAAATAAGAAAAATATTAGTTAAGGCTTTTACAGCCTTAA